ACACGTGACGCGTACGATTCCTGCAGTATGCATAATACGATTCTACAAACAGTCTAGTTTCACGGTAACCACCTGCGTTTCCATGGGTTTCCATTGAAATAATTTCGTCGTACGAACTGATCTCGTACTAATCTCTTTTTGTTCTCTGTTATCGGTCTTTGATCTCGTTTCGAGCGTTCTGTTTCAGCAGTATCGTGTTCAGTTTCGTGGGTCACCGGTGACCCACGCTATACAGAACGCCTGGATAATATTCATTTACGAATGACTCGAATACAGAATCCAGTGGAATAATCAGTCGATTTCAACTCGTTGCGTTCCGAATTATATTTTCATTTTTCAGTGCGTCGCTCAGCTTAAGCTATTTTTAAACGCTTTACGTTCGTCGGAATTCATACGTGAAACATGTGCGATGCTTCGAGTAAAGTTAATTTTGATTAAAAGTCGTGAGCATGTTCGCAGCAGTGTTTCAATGAAAAATATTTCAACGAAACCTTGTAGTGTCGCGTCAGGACACGAAGAGTTGAAAGGTAAAAGAAAAAGGTGACATAACGAACGCTATTCAACCTTGTAATTAGAAAGAACAATGTTTATCGAGGTTATCCAAAGCTTCCTCGACCAAGCAGTGTATTATTGTGCATGCGATGCGATGACGACGATACCACAGGAAATGACTAGGCGAGTGACGCGGTGGGACGTTATCTGGGTGAGGACGATGCGATTTTTGTAATGATGTGATAAAATGGCGCTTGATCGAAGAAACGAGACGATAAACGTTACTCTTTCGCGACGAACACTTGAACAGCATCCACCTTTCTCGTTTGTCTTCTGAAACCGACCGATTATTCCACCAGATTCACCATGAAAATTCATTCTTTTCAGCGAAAACTCGACTTTCCAATGAAAATTCGATTGTTCCAGTGAAGATACTCAAACTTTCCATTGAAAATTCAACTCGACGGGCAAGAAGTATAATTCATCGCACCGATGGAACGCAGGTGTTTATCATAGAGAAGAAAGAAAAAAAATAGAAACAAACAGGCAACGTACGCGACAAGTGGTTGATATACATTGTGTACAGTATTGAATGCAGTGTTCGCAAATCGTTACACAACTTTAGTCGCGTTCCTCTTCCGTAGCTCAACCGTCCTTAAATTTCCCGTTATCACTCGTATCGATCGCTGGTCACATACGTGGGCTCGTCAATTGTATACTTCAATCATATACATATACATATATGTATGCATGTATGTATATATGTGTATATATATATATATATATAGATATAGATATAGATATAACTCTTTCTTTCATAGTTTCCTTTTTCTCACTATCGGAGAGTACAAAACCTACATAATTTACCTTAGCAATTATTTTGTCTTCGTACGACTGCCACAATTGCACAATTTTTATTATCGTTTGTATTTTCTTTTTTCTCTCGTTTCTTTCTTTCTTTCTTTTTTTTCTTCTTTTCTCATTAACTAGGCCGATCCCGTTCGATCCATGGAGCCTTCGATCTTTGATCCTGCGCCGATCCTACACATTTTCACATTTTTACTCTTTCTCTCTCTCCCTTCCTCTCTCTATCTCTCGCTCACTTCTCTCGCGTTACAACACTGTCACGATTAAGGCCAAGATGGGTTTGTTCGTTGCTTTAAACGTATCCAGGAAGAACACGCCGCGTTTCCAATTCGTCGGAAAGCAATCATAACGATAAACGCGTGTATCGTTCGTGGTAAATCGAGAAAAAATATATATTGTTTCTTCTGTTCGATTGAAGAAAAACAACGAAGAAAAAGAAGAACAACTTGTATCCCTGTCGTTCGGGAAAATCGCTCGATCGAGCAGCTCGAATTCTTCCTGAATCCTTTAAACCGCGAGCTCCGCGAACAACCCCGGTCGTTTTACAATTACAATAAACAATTCTCTATGCCGGGCCCGTGACTTCTCGTGGAGAAACGTCAGCGTGGACGCTCCCCGTGGAGGCTGAAGGATAACCGACGCTTAAAAAAGGAAAGTGTACAGTTGCGCCCTCGAAAAGCTCCGTTCCCCGTCCCTCGTCGTCGACAATGGAACCACCGGACGAATAAAAATCACTCATTCTATAATTTAGATTCTACGATCATCGTAACTAACGAGAATGCCCTTGCTTAGAATTGTAATTACATCGTAATATTTCATTCGATATTACACGATAATCAATATAATATCAACACAATCAATATAACTAATGCGGTTGTGTATATTCATTTTATTTCGAACCATCAAGACAAACAAAACCTTCTTCAATACGATTATAACGCACAGATATACGATCTACAAGTAATGAAATATTAGATTAAAAAAAGTTTTGTTTATTTCAATCGTTGAAAACGAACGGACACGAGTGTCACATTATTTACGGGATAACCTAATTACTATATTAACAACGTATAGAGGGAACGATGGGAGACGTTTGAAATCTCAAGAAAACCACCGTTCCAACTGTGAGAAGGAATTACAAAAATTGTTCTAATCAATCGGCAGTTCCAGTGTCAACTTCGAGGTCGTTCCCTTGCTCAATCACGCTTCGTCGAAGCATACGCTTCCTCGTTCTCCCTCGGAAGCGATTTTTCCGCGAGGGAACAACGATGAGATACCGATCGCTCTCGCAGCTCGGAAGGCTTCGGAGAAACGAGGCGACGGTCGTTCGGCAATCACACAGTACACACGTAAAACGGTCTACGTCGAGAATACTATAATGTTACTAGTTGGTGACAATAATCGTTAACAATCAACAACAATGACATCGAGGCGCTATTTAGAACGTTAGCCGGGCACGATCAAAAGAATATATCTTTCTTTCTTTCTTTCTTTCTTTTTCTTCCTTTAGTTCACTTCTCCTTTACGTCTTCGTTCTCTCCTCCGTTTGTCCGTCACAAAAATGGCAATCACAAATGACACGCGCGTGCATTCGTGGTATATATAAACGCATTCTTAATAATTCATATATATGTGTATATTCTTTATAATATATTAAATGTCACACTGCATCTACCTCACACACTCACTTTCTCTCTCTTTCTCTCTCACTCTCTTACTCTCTCACTCTCTCTCTCTCTTTCTTTCTTTCTTTCTTTCTTTCTTTCTTTCTTTCTTTCTCTCTCTCTCTCTCT